CATATTGAAATGTTGATTATCGATTTTCTTTGATTTTCTTTTTCATTTTTATTTGTAAAATAAATTATTGTTTTGGATTTTGTCCAAATTAATAAGTTTTCATCAAATTGAATTGAGTGTTTTATGTTTGACTAAGTTGCCTCCTAACAAGGAAAAGATTAAACAATCAAATATACCAAAGATGAAAGAAGAAAAGATGTTACTAATGATTGTTCAAGACTTAAAAGATATTGAATGAGATATGTGGCATGTAGATACTTGTTCCAATAACCATATGAGTGGAAGTAAATCTTCTTTTCATTTCTAAATGAATATTTTTTATCAACTCTTAGTTTTTGGGATTTCTCTATGATGAAAGAAATGAAAAAATATTATATGAAATTAAAAGCCAAGAAAGATTTCATTGAAACATTTGTTAATGTGCCGCATGTTCTTGATTTGAAAAACAATTTTTTAAGGTTTGAAAATTAGAATAAAAGAGCTACATTTTTAACATTAGCAAAGGTGCTTGTGAAATTTATGATGCTATTATATATGTTAATTTGTTGTAAAAATGAGTTCAAAATGACTTTTCCCTCTAAAGATTGAAAACATTCAATCTAGTTTAGTGGTCAAAGGAAAAGATCCTTCTTGGCTTTGACATTACCATCATGAGCATTTGCATTTCAAAATATTAAAATTCTTCAAACAAAAATAAATGATAATAGGTCTTCAATATATTTTTGTCCCTTCTTAGATTTGTTAATAATGTGTTTTTTAGTAAATAATAACAATCTAAATTTGCGAGCATAAAATCATAGAGGACAAATAATGTTTTAAAGCAAATACATAAGGACTCGTCTAATAAAATCATTATCTAATAGAGATAAAATATACTTAATTATTTTGATTGACTATTACTCTATAACACAATACGAGACTATTGTTTACAAGAGAAGTCAAAACCTTTAACTTACCTTTGCTTATACATCACAACAAAATGGTGTATCAAATAGCAAAAATAGATCAATTCTCACATGGTGAGAAGTCTACTAGCACAAAGCTGAAGAAACTACTTTTTTTTTTTGTTTAATTGTGACCCATCATTTTTTTTTACTCAAAGAAGGAAACTGGAGAAAAACAATGGATAATACAATTGGTAGCAAAAGCATTACAATAATCAATAGTGTATATACAAAAATATTTTGTATCCCTTTGTAAGACGTGACTCTTTGGTGATTGATTGCATTAACACAAAATTCTTAATGGATCTTATAATTTGATGTTACATTAGCATTTCTTTATCATTTAATATTAAAATAAAGATTTATGATTTTTTGACACACCTAAATTTTTTACATTCATTTGACACTGTCCTTACTTTTTAATCTTTTCTTTTTTGAAACAATACAAAAGTTTACACTTTTATAATCATTTTATCATTGTAGTCTGTGTCAAATGAATGTAAAAGTGTTTCATACCATTGCTCCAAAATAAAATATATAAATTAAAGAAAGGACTAAAGGATTCTCCAATGACTTTATACAGTTAGAATTGTGACATATTTTTTTAAATATTATATTTGTAAAATATCTTTCAAACACACATTATTTGTTAACGTGAGAGACTATTTTCTAACACTTCATATACCTAATTACAATAAAGTTTAAGTTTTATACATTCCTAATAGGTTCAGGTACTTGTGATTATTTTCTATCACTTGAGTTTTGAGTCAGCTATTCAAAAGTTATAAATAATTTGATTATATATAAAATGTTACAGATTTTTTGTTTCACTTATATGACTTATAAGCCTTCTAATTTATCATCTTTTAATTAAACATAAAATGTTGCATCATTATAAATTATCTGTTAAGAATTTACTTGGTGACTACTTTCTGTTATTTCGTGAGAGAGACAGTAGTACACATTATTAATTTACTAACTAAATATAAATAGTTAATTATAAAATTCAAACTTAATCGACATATTTAATTTCATATTTTTTACATGTAATTTCGTTAAATTATATTTTTTAGATATATTACTATACTGTTTTGCATGTGGGTGAATCATTTTGTTAACTTTTTGTTGTGTGTGTATATATATATATATATATATATATATATTTAAATTACATGTAATTACTTATCTTTCTAGTATATGGTATTCTCTATTATTATCATTTAGTTAAGGAATTAATTTGAAGATTCATTGTATAAATTATTATCGTCATTTAATTTAATGATGCATTATATAATAATTATTATTATTAACAAATAAAAAAAATATAATATACTATAATATAAAATTAAAATAAAATAACAAAAAAAAAAAAAGTGATGTGAATTGATGTGTTATATGATAAAATATTATTATATTGATTATTGTTCACACTTGTATTACATTAATTACAATTATATGTTTTGGTACGTTGTAAAATGTGAGAGCATTTGATATATGGTTATCTACTTGAAAGCGTATTCATTAATTTTAAGAGGCCTGATTTAGATGACGACAATTATATTATGTTTCCAACTATGGAAATATGTTATTTTGTTTATTCTTATGAAACATATGAATAGTTGAATAAGTATCCATATCGATCGGATATTATTTTGTTGCGCAAATTTTGGTATCACTGTTTAACATGTGTTTTTTGAATATAATTTTCATTTTAAATTAATGATTTTCATATTTTAATTACTAACTAATACTAAGAGAGAGAATATTAAATAAATCATAGATTATTATTAATTAATAATCAAAATATTAAAGTTAAGATACGATCATTCTTACATTATTGCCTAAGACAAATATTAGACTGAAATTGTGATAATACTCACCAGTTAATGAACTAGGACAATCAAAAAGACCTTAGTGCTAATAGAGATTAATTTGAATTCAAATAAACATTTATGATTAATTCTTTGACCATTATATTAAATTCACGTGCTATAATTTGTTATATATTAATGGTGTTTAAATCCCATAAGTTAGCACTTGCTTTAGAGTGTGAACCTGAACTACTTACAAAAAATGTATAATCTAAACTTTATCATTGTTTATATCTGTGATTACTTACTTATAGTAGAAAAAATTGCAATTATCTCTAATACTAAATCCTATTAATTTTAAATTATACTTCTTTTAATAAAATAATAGTTACAGTTTCTAATTTTAAATAGATACTTATATTTTTTTCATTTATAGTTGTAATGAATGACATCTATCTTTATTACATTTTTTGAAAAAGGACACTTATTTCCAATTAATTTTTTTCATAAAAAAATCTTTAATTTTTATATTTTAAAACTTCAACTTTCTAATTTTTATATTTTTCATTTAAAATTTTGTTAATATAATATTTTTAAATGAAATAAAAAAAAAACATAATGTCACTTAACTGAAACAAAAAAGTATAAGAGATATAAATATTTATTTAAAAACTAGATCAATTGGGAGTAATATTTCATTAAAAACGTTAGGAAATCAGATGACTACTTTAAAATTAGAGAAAATGTGAGTCCTAATCCTCCCTTAAAATTATTATTTTCACATTTTAGCGTGATGAGAATCTCCGTCCAATTAAATTTATATGTTTACTCTATTGTTATCTTTCACACACAAAAAAAACGTTATTATTAATATTTAATGCTGAAAAATAATTTCGTTTTAAACAACATTTTAAAAAGCATTTCCAACCCAAAATTATAAATAAACTGAAGAAATAGAACATAATGGGACCTACATTTTTAACGACTTTTCCTTCAAATTTACCTCGAGACAGCAAACAACTACCCATAATCATTATAATGTCTTTTGCATCAAAAAATTTCTTAAAGAGGCCGAAACAACATACGGTTTGTGTAGTATAAATTGTTGCAAAACCACTAATTTCATTAAAATACTGAACTTCTATTGTTGGGTGAGTTATCTAACAATATACACTGTCTACTTACAAGTTAATCCATCTGCTTTAAAATATACACCATCTGCTTCTATTTTTAATATTTTGAGTTCGTACAAGATCAGTGAGGTTTTTTTTTTATTCTCAAAAAATTGAAGAAAATTAGCATTTTGATTCTTATTACATCACAGTAATCAATTATCTATTTACGTATTAAAAAAATCAGGTGAACAATATTAGTAGTGCTTATTAGTGTGATCTCCATGTAATACATCAACATGACACTTAAAGGTTCCTAAAATATATATTCATATATTTTAAAATAAATATTAGAGACCAAAAACTACGATCTTGAATTTTTATTATGAAAATAAAAAGAAAAATTTTAAAGAAACCAAAATCAAGATTAATGTACTTCACAAAAACCAAAAACAATGACTATTGTTTTAATGAGAAAGTCAAAGGAGAGAAATCATTTAAGAGAAATAATGATACTTTAACAATATTCTTTTGACAACATTTTATTGATCCATGTTAGTATTTATGATTATTATTATTAATTGTGAAGTAATTTTAGACCAATCGCATGAGATAATAATATTAAAATGTTATTAACCAAATATTATCAAAATATCATTATCCATCATTTTAGTTTACATACATTATATAGTTTAGTTAAAGCAAGTTATCTTAACAATGTGTGAAAGACAAAAAAATGAGATTCAAACATCACTATATACGAAACGAAAAGCATTTAGAAAACCTTTTAAGGTTTGATTATTACGAGGAATCACCCCTTCGAACAAAGCACACCCAAAAGAAAAAGGTAGTAGTCTGATATACTTTTATGAAACTGTGTGCCTTTTTTTTCTAAACTGCAGAAGATCCATTGCCCTTTTTACAGGAAACAATGGCCCCTGGGTTTAGAGTGAAAATGTTTTCCAACCTCTTAAGTTATTACCTGTTACCTGTTACCTGTTACAAAGTGTGTTGTTTTAAAGTGGTATTCTTCTGGCAGAAACAAAACTGGGCGAGGCTGATGATTAGTGACAGAAGCAATGCATGTTACAAAACGTGGAGAAGTAAAAATATGTACAAGGAGGATGGATGTCATAGGCAAAGATGTAAAATTTTATTTGAAAAAGGGGTGGGGAAGCGAAGGTGAGGCCCAAAGAGTGGGTCACAGAAATGCATTAATTTGATTTGATCGTTCCTACTCGAAGCAAAGATGGGAATCCAAATGGGAAAGCACCCACAGAGAGACACACATCATCTTAAAATATATTCTTTGCCTCCAACCTACCTTACTCATCACATCATCACTTCATTTCTCCTTATATTCCACCAACACGTACAATGGCTTCCCGTTCAAACGCTCACGACCCTGTCACGTAATTCCCAATAAATCATCAACAATCATCGCTCCACACTCAACCACTACTACTAATACACACAACCTCTTTTAGGCTGAACCAAAATTACACAACACTTCTACAACAAACAAGACAAATCACAGTTCAAAAGGGACCAGCTTTAAATTTAAAACATACATACATGTACCCAAACTATATAAAGTGCATCAGATATTTTCGTTATCTAGGCAACCAAACAAAATTTAATGGAAATCAAACCTACCATGCCAAACTAGGCTTGCAGCTAGCAACCAGTAGTCTATGAAAAACAGAAACGTGACAAGGTCATATTCAAATGTTGAGTCATCTCTCTCCTATGAGTGATTGAGTCCTATCTGATATTTATTAGGAGAGATAAGGATACAAGATTTGAACATGACCCGACATCTAGATAAGAGGATCCATACCTTCATTTCCGGTAATTCAATTACGCATGCACACTCCACTACTTCTGCTCCCACACGTTCTAAATGACAGCAAAGACAGCAATATAATCAAAATCCAAAAATGACATTATCTTGGGGAAATAATAAAGATGTTTAAACTGAGGTACTTGAGCAGATGTGCAGCTAAAAGTGTAATAAATACAGCTAGGGACGCATAGTGATCCAAAGAAACACATTACTGTGGCGTAATAACGATCCTAGTTCATGCATTCAAATTCAATAAATGAACAACACTGGGATCTACTTTATCCGTGAAATTCTTTTAGTCAGTTAATAAAATGAATCTCTTTATGCACTAATGATTCGAGTAAGAGCATGAATCGTGAAGTAATACACACTGTTAATCCTAATGTGCATACTTTGGTGCGTGTTTGATTTATTGATACCATGTGAGAGGACGAGTTGTGTTGAATATCTGTTGGAAGATTTCTAAAGGAAATTCAAACACACAATCTAGGTTTTTCCTTTCTATTTCAAAATGATAAATAAGAGTCAGTGCCAGGGAAAAAATCCCTGCTGACAAAAGATAGACTGAAACAAATGAACTACAGAGAAAGATCTTGGGGCCAGAGCAACTTTCAATGGTGTGGTTGAACAAATTAATAGATCACCAACATGTAAAACAATGTCATGTTCTGATAAAATAAATGTCCATCAATGTTACAATAAATGTCCATTTATGACAAGATTTCTTCACAGGAACTCACCTAGCAAATCCATAGCTGCACAGAGTGTTCCTCCCGTTGCAATCAAATCATCAACCACTAAAGCACGTTCACCAGATTCAACAGCTCCAACATGCATCTCAAGACAGTCCCTTCCATATTCAAGAATATATTCTTGGGAAATAACTTTTCCTGGCATTGAGGGAAGCTTTTGTTAGAATAAAACTAGAAAATAAACAATTTATAGTAACAATCTCAGCCAAACCTTGACAAAGCCGGAGCAACATTTCAAGAGCAATTTATTGAAGCACTTATTCAAAATTTGTTCCAATTTAGTCATGGTCTCATTTTAGATGACCTGGAAGGCAGATTATAAAAGGAAAAAAGATACAGAACGAAAGAGGGTGATCAAGGGGCTAAAAAGTCTAAAGACTGCACATCATCACTTAACAATAATTTGTAGACTACACTTTATAGTGAGCAAAAATCATCACAATGAAACTCTGGATACTAATCAGGACGAGCATCACATAAGTAAATAACATAAACTGCATAATTCTAGATTTACCACATATTTGCTAGGTTGAAACACAACAAACAAATACTTTCTCTTAAATATACTAAATATCAGTACATGCCAAGTAGGTTAGTTAAACCGTGAATCGATGATGAACCGAATGAGAAATGTTAAAGAACGAGTGATACAATCAACATGGAAATGAAAGTAAGATCTTTTAAATAGGCACTAAATTGTACCAGGCAACTTCTTTGGTTTCCTCAAAGGAACGAACTTTGCTCCTATAGCCAGTGCAATGGGAGGACCAAAAATAAAACCTCGAGCTTCAATTCCTACATAACATAATTATTCATCAGAACCACATAAGCGACAATACAGGCGCTATTGCAAATGACATGTAGTTCAACACCATCAAGGAACCGTGTATTAGTAACAAAGTGCTACATTACATGCTAAACCCAAAAGGAACAAACGACGTAATATATGATCGAAAATTTGCTTTGAAGTGGTACCAGGGAATCTTAAATGTTAGTATCATCATCTTCAAAATTTATCATTAAATAACATGAATTAGACAAATGATATATAATGCATAGAGAATGTGACCATAACGGATGTCAGAATTTGACTAAGAATTCCAATCTAAAACCCTATAAAACCAGTAAAGGATATAAATAAAAGTGAATGAGAAAGATTGTGACAGATTGAGAATTAGTTATACACAAGAGGATCAAAACCACATCGGCGCTAGTCATAGGTTGCCATTGCCAGAAGTAACTAAGGCCTTCTGGTAAAAAAGATGCAGCCTTATTCAAGCAAGCTCACCTCAACACTCCCCCACCCACCTCCCCCATGTAAAAAGAAAGAAAAGAAATAAAATAAATAAATAACAGTAGAGGGGATAATCGGAATCACCTTATTCTCAAAACAGAAGCAAACACCCAAAAGTCGAAAAAACAATAGCAACAGATTTAATATATAACAGTGCCAGTTGCTAAAGGGCCTATTAATACAGTTACCAATCCACAATAATGCGGATAGGTAATACGTGATAATGCTGGACTCTATAATTGAAGAGAAGCTTTCGGAAATGTCTCACATTTTATATATATATATATATATATATATATATATCCACATTCTAGAAAACCCAAATAACCACACAAAGACAAATCCTAATGCAAATGAAAAAAGACAAGTGACACCCAACCCGATTGCATTGTGTTTCATTTTCTAATCATACATAAAGAACCAAAACCGGTGCAAAGGACCTACAAGCAATTCAGATTTCAATTTACCCCTAAACTGTACACAAAATCAGACAGTGATAAATGGGGCCTCCAATCTAATCTTTGTTCTAACCAATAAAAAAAGTTTGCATCGCTACAACATCCATCCCAAGGCACCGAATCAGACAGAACAGAACTCAACCCATAATAGCCCCAGTTTCATAGCATACAGCATGTCCTCCTCGACATATCACACTAAACCCTCCAGCATATCTGGTCATGTCGGGGGGAAAAGGTTTAAAGCAGAAAAAAGCTGCAACAACGCAACACACACACAGAGGAGACACAAAAGCGAGAAAACCAAGCACGACGCACAGTGGCGTAGTACAGAACTAGTAGCAGTTCCTCACCTGCACCTATAAAGTGACGCTCAAGTTTTACCAAGGGTTTAGTAACGTAGAAAGGAACAGGAAAGTGCCACAGGATAGAGAAAAAAACAATCAAGTAAATAAATAGTAAACAAAAAACAAGAGTGAAATGGAGGAACCCACAAACGAAAGACAACAGTAGAAGGGAGAAAAAAAGAGAAGAGGGAGTTGAAACATGCGTCATGCGGGTCCACTTTGCACAAGTTGGAAGCGATGACCAATGGTGGTTTTTCTCCATGCAAATTGGATCCAGGCACATCTCCACGAACAACAGAATTTCATATTTCAGAATGGTAATCAGTGCGTTGAATCGGAAGCATGGGTACAGTTCCGTCATCTTATTTTTCTAAATTAACCTTCTATTTTAGCTTTCAATAGTATTTTCTAATTCGATAATCCTAGGTTAAAGTACATTAATTGCGCCAAACTAATGGATACTCCACAACCACATTGTATACAAAAATTTGTTCAATATAAAAGTTGTTTTTTAAGTAATAATGACAAATTATCTATCCGTTATCCATTTCATATTTCTACTTTATATTTTAATTATATTTTAAAATCAAAAAATAAAAATATCTAAATACTAAAACTAATTTACACCTATTTCAATAATACAAACAACTACAAATCAGTAATATATTTCAATAATATAATACAAAATACCCATTATTGTGTATAATCATCATTATTGAATTTATTTTTAACAAAACAACAAAACATGTTCAAAAAATTCACAAACAAGCAAAGACCTTTCGCTTATCTACGTTGTAAATCATATATTATAAAAAGCGGGAACAATTAAAAAGTTTTGTGGACAACAAGAAATGGTTATAATAAGATGAAAACTTATTGGGTTCAGATTCGGATTTGATATTTCTGACAGGTAGGGCTCATAAATATTTACACTGAGATATAATGGGTTATTTTTTTTTTTTATAAATGGTACATAGTAAACACCATTAAATCTGGACATGAGAGTAGAGAAAGTGAAATTGAGAGTGTAAATTTGTATATTCGACTCTTGTCGATTATGTTTTTCTATAATAATCCTATAAATTTGAGCATGCACAACATTGAACGAAGAAGCACTAAAATCACAATAGAAGAAAATTGACTTTTAAGCAATATGAATGGTTGCTCACTTTGCCACAGTGTATACATCTAATTTCTATAAATGTCATTCAACCATTTAAACTAAAAAAACTGAAAAGAGTTGGAATCAGAGTAATTTTAGCATACCACCAACAAGAAACTACATAAAGGGAATGTGCATTAGATTTGAAAATCAGAGCGTTACTGTCACAGCACAATTTTGCATCAGAAACAAATTATTTCTGATAATAACACAATTGCTCGATTTTTAAACAATATTGGGAACACACGAACCCTCAACCGCAACAAGATTGTGTGGAATTCCAAGAAGGGTAAATGTGAACCCAAATTTTAAGAAGGAAACTCCTTTTGTGTAGACCATCTATAGCAATCAGAGACCTCTTAATGTTTTGTTTAGTGAAAAGGGTCACGGGTGATAATAGAAAGAGAATGAATTTTATATGTTTTGTATAATAAAAATATTGAAACTTTTCTTTTTTCAAATACAGTTTTCTTAATGTTAAAAAGAAACAAAAAACACAAACTTTTAGAGCAATTTTATAGAACAAACGCTCACTCATTAACCTTAAAATAAATAACACACTTCTCTAGTATTTAAATGATAAACCTATTTGTAATTTGTAAAGTAACACTCTAGCTCTATATTTTGATTAAAAATTATCATATATGATTTAACAATAAACAAAAAAAATGAAAAATAAAAGTAGTAGGTATACCGAATATTTATCTATGCTTTTTAATTAACTATATTTTAACTCTGGTGTAATTGTTTTAGTGGACATTTATTCGCGTTCTTTACTCGGGTCCTCTTGTTTGAGCAAATGTAAAATAAACCCTAGTAAAAATGAAAATGAGAACTAAAAGATGAGGAAAAACATGTAAAAGGAATAACAAACCACAGTAAAGTATTTTAAAAAATTACGTTTTTTCTCTAAAACCATGAATACCCTAAAGAACTCAGCCAATCTTTTCAGCCATGCAGATCTTTTCACTTACACATGCCCAAAAGCAGCCATTAGCGAGTGGAGATGTCCATTTCTTCACTAAGACAACATAGTCAAACCCAAAATACCACTCTCAGAACCCACAGTGACTTCCATTCCATAAGTCCCTCAAAACCATTCAAAAGCACAACCACACCATTACTGCATACTCTCCCAAATTTCTCCTCACCCTGGACCCAACACCTTTCTTCAAGCTACCCAAAAATCACATCAAACTTTTTCAATGTTGATCCATTTTTTTTTTTCAAAAGTAAAAGAACAGTGTTTTTTTTTCTCTTGTTTACCTGCAAACAACGAAATGTTTTTGCCGTGTTCTCATCGACGAACAAATCGATTGTGTCCTTAAATTTCGGATCAAGCAATAGAGTTATAATGTCTTGGAACATAATACCTTGTCATTGCAAACCAAACCAAACATTAGATATGAAGTATAAAGCAAGAAAAAAAAAACCACTCTCAAGCCTATCTAGCTTTCTGGAAACTGGAAAACGGAACCGAAAACGAAATATGGAATTCAAACCTCAGCGAATCCGATGTCGTTCGTTTTCTAGTCCAAAAAACATTCGTTAAAACCGGAAGGAGACGAAGCAGAAAAGAAGATTAATAGGGAGAAAAAGTAACCCGGATTTAGGGGAAATTTGGGACGACACGAATCTTAGTTTTGATGCCATGAAGACGAGGATCCTGGTCTTTGTAAGCAGCCATTGTATATATAAGTGGGGGAGTGAGTTTGAGTGACTACAGTACAGAGAGAATGGGAAGCGAACACAGAAAGAGAGAGCATGACCCAGATATTTATAGAGAGAGAATGCGCTGTCGAAGATACACACATCTAGCAGCAATTTGTGTGCAAAAAGGGAATATTACCAAAAATATTTTGAAAACATGTCAATTCAAAAAGTTACTGGCAGTGATAAAATTATAAAAAAAAATAGGCTTTACAATACAAATTGACGTGTGACGTCGCTTATTTGTTCCACTGTGTGGTGAAACTCTCAAATAAGATTGCGATCTTTTAAAAAAATGCACACACTATGGTCAGGATTTATTCAGGGTATGAAAGACTTTTAAAATTTGATAGTCATTGTCCAGAGGGGAATGGCGTATATAAAACCATATAATATATATTCTGGGATTTTTCTATGTATCTTTCATGTTGTAAGAGTATTGCCCATAAATCTTAAAAAATATAAGAAATATGTCTCGTGTTTATTGAATGAAAAACCTTTAAAAGTGCTTTTATTTTGTAGTCAAAATAATACTAATTAATTTTGTATTTAATCCAAACCAATGCTTTGTCAGAAGATGTGTATCTGTATCCATACCACAATTATTTACCTAATTTCTTTTTCTATTGTTTCCCCTCTTCAATGCTTGACTTTCTCTTTTCCTTAATACTGCTAATTTCATTTTAGTTGAACGCGTGAAATTCGAAATAGTTTTAATTCATAAATTTTATTTCGTATCACTCTACGAATGATAGAGACTTGTATTTTTAAACACCTCATTAATATTTGTCTTCTTTTTTAATACATACCAATATTCATTAATATATATTTTTTCTCCATGTGTGTTATTCAAGTATCATTTATTATTTTGAGTGCGATAGTATCTTTTAAAATGAAGGCACTCTCTATATACACCTCAAGCTATTAATTTTTTCTTATAATTTTCCAAATTTTATATACATGTATTTATATAATATCTTACTTTAGAAATATTGAAATATTCACTCACATAACCAAAAAAAACATCCTTTGAGACCTTTCATGCCGTTTTTAATAGTATCAACTTTTTCAATTAAACAATGGTCTTTTGTTTCCCCATCCTGCCTCCCCGTTTCCTCCTCCCGGCCCCCTCCCCGGCTGTTTCTTTTCACCCGTGCGTTTCTTACCCTCTCTTCTTTCCCCCCCCCCCGCCCCGCCCTCGCCCGCCGCCCCGTTGCCCGGGCCCCCTCGGCGGTTCGCCCCCCCCCCTTGCTTTTCTGTTACTCGCAGCACCCCTTACCACCGCAGCAGACTTACGCACATGATCCCCTGCACCTTAG